TATGTTGAGTAGAACAAATAGGATAAGTATGGACAGCGGAAATGCGATGCACTCCCTGTTTACTGGGTGCGAGCTTCCAATGCAGGAAGAGCAATCAGATAAGTCGATGTACTTGTTAGTTTGTCGATTTCTTGGGCTGTTCGCAAGATCTCTCGCACAATTAAAAGCACACCAATTTGTTTTATCATAGCAGGGCTTGAGGATATAGAATCGACCCGATATAGGCTATATCTTGCGCTAAAAGAATCAGTATGTACACTGATAACAGACTTCTAGTCCACAAAGACCCGGCTATGTATGTATGTTTTTTTCAGTGCAAGACTAGGCTGAGCTTAACGTTGATACAAACTCGAGAGACCAAATGATTTTCATCAAAGCTTATGAGTCAATCAAACGAGCTCAATATTAATGCCTTCAACTGCTGGTGGGGAGTCAAGGGAAAACAAGTGGCGGAAGGAACTGGATTTGAGCAGGTCTGATGAGTCAAATACGATGTGGACCACTGAGAAAACGGAAAATATTTTTTACAACGTGAGCCCTGTCTTTTCATCAAGATATGCGGGATTTGCTCAATATCACATGGACGCCAGTATGAGGGGATAGAGCTCAAGCAAAACGTGAAGCACAATGAAACTTTAGTAAATGTCGATTCTCCCAATCCATTTTTATCAAAGCGACAAATGTTCCATTGTGATGTCATTGTGAGAGGGTCTACGTCAGACCGTGCACGGTGATTTAATTTAGAGTTGTGCCATGGACAATTGTAGGAGATCACGCAGGTACACTACGGTCCAAACTCAAATGGCTCTTTTATCCTCAGAACGTCCATAGTCACGAGCATTGCCATTTCATCTCAGATATCTCCAACTTACAAATATGGTATGTAATCAAAACATAAAGTAAGCATTTATGTACCGAACACATCTTCATTATGAACAATAAATAAAAATCGGACGTACTCGGAATATACACCTAGTAATCATTATCTGATGCTTATCAATACGTTCCAATGATATAATTAGTTCAAATATAATGAAAATGCCATGTCTATGAACACCATACGTCTGATGTTCATCTCGTGAACATTATACACAAAAATGAAACCAGTACATATTGGTTTGATGGCCACAACATCAGACCTGAGGCTCAATCTTTGGAGTCACTCGGCTCATCATTTGCTCAGCCTCCACTGATTTCAGGGGCCATCCCTTCACTGGTTTTTTTCTTTTCTTCAACTCTTTCTCTTCGTCTTGTCTCTAACTTTTTCTTCAATTTTTCTCTTTCTTCGACCGTTTCTTCAACTTTCTCCTTTTCGTCTCCAATTCCTAGTTCCTCTCCAGGCTCCACTCCCCCACTTCTTCTCTTCATGTTCCCAGTT